GACCTAATCATTTGCATACCTAATTATTAACATACTTATTCAGTTACTAACCCAACTACTTGCTTAGCTTATTACATAATTACTCATTTACTTGCATAAATAAATAATTATTTATTCATTTACTTCGTTACTTAGTGAATTGCTCGCTGACTTAATTGCTTCCCTACTCACATCCCTAATTATTTACTCAATTATTATTTTCCTGGCTTGGTGACGTACCAAATTAATTACTCAATTAATTACCTGATAATGTCCTCATGTAATTTCATACTTAATTACTTACATACGTACTTAGTTACTTACCAAATCACTTACTTTCTCATGTATTTACTTACTTAATTAATTAATTATCTACTCACCCAATTACTTACTGATTTATTTGCTTACTTACTCATTCAACTACTCGCTTGCTTACTCACTTACTTATTTGGTTACTTAATTATTCCCTCCCCTACTTACTTACTTATGACTATCTTACGTAATCATTTGCTTATTTACCAGCTCAATTTATAACTCATCTACCCACCCACTGGCTTCGTGCTCGGTTACTTAGTTACTTACTTACCTACATATTTACGTAATTTCCCACTTACTCAGTTACTTACTTGCTAACTCACCCACTTGCTGCTTCCATACCTATATGCTATCTTACTTAATCTCCTTCCAGTTTACACACTTATTTACTAACATAAATACTTACTTATTTCTATACATACTTGCTTACATACCGATTCACTTACCTATATACTCACTTGCTTACATATATACTCATTTATATTCATAGTCATTTATTTTCCTAGTATTTTAACTAATTATTACTAACCTGATTATCTATTCAAGAGCTTCCTCGAATACTTTATCGCTGGAATACCTAATTAGTTATCTAATTAGTCACTTCATTAACTTCTTGTTTGATAACTTACATATTTACTAACTTAATCACAGACATAATTACTTACTTACATACACACCAGTTTATTCACTAAATTACCAAATATTTCCTTACATACTTACTTGCTTAGTGATTTACTTAATTTCTTCGTTACGCACCTACTTCCCAGCATAATTACTTACCTAATTAATTACTCACATTAAATTAATTTAATACCTGCTTACATATTTACTTACACATTTACTCTTTTGATGAGTTACTTACTTGCCTACCTAAATACCTAATTCTTCAATCCTCTACCCAGTTACTGATCTACTTACTGAATTAATTAATTACTTGGATAGTTCATAAAAATTTACTGACTTACATTCCAACTTATTTAGGAGCTTACTTACTTAATTTCCTTGTCGCTTACAAACTTACTTACCGACCATCATATTACTAACCTATTTACCTTAATACTAACTTGCTTACTGTAGTACTTACCTACGTGTAAAATTACTTACTAACGTTCTTCGTAACATATTTGATTACGTACATACGCGTCCACTTACTCATTTACTTAAGTTGTTATTAACTAACATAATTAACTTACCTCATAACTTACTAAATTGTTCCTTTAGTTAGTCGTTTTATGAGTTAATTCTTTCCTTAGTTATATATTGCTATCATACGTACTTAATTGCGCACCTATTTAATTATCCGGTTACCTTATTTCATTAACTACTTACTTTATTATTTGCCTACTTACCAACTTATTTTTTGGTAACAACCTACTCAATTACTAATTTCTTTACTTACTTGATTATTTTATTACATACTGACTTACTTTCGTACAGAATTACTTACTTACTTAGTTACTAACATACCAACTTACTCACTTATTTACTTAAGTAATTATTATTTACTTACCAAATTAATGGGGTCTATACTTACTTACTAATTTACCTGCATACATACTTATTCACTTACTTACCTATTAATCAACTTATTCACATATTGAATACTAACTTAATTACTTACTTTTTAACTTACATACCTAATTACTTACTCAGATATTAACCTTAACCTTATGAGTTACCTGCTTAAATACATCGTTGCTCATTCGCCTACTTAATTATTTACTTGCCTTATTTTTTACCTAATTGTTTACTGACTTGCTAGCTTACTCACCTACTTCCCTACTGATTTGCTTAATTATGTTCTCACTAACTTGACTAATTAATCATTAAATTACCGAATTATTTCGTTACCCTTTATTTACTTCTTTACCCACTTACATAAAAAATTAATTACCTACTTACTCCTACACTTACCTACTAAAAGAATTGATAAATTAACCAATCACTCATTGCCTACTGACTTACTAATTTAATTACTCATTTATTTGAATTATTAATAACTTACTAAATCACATGATACTTAATTACAAACTTACCTACTTATCTGTTCACCAACTTATTAACCTACTTACATGTGTAGTTAATTTTTTCATTAGTTGCTTAATAACTTACTGACTTATTTATATTCATAATAACCTACTTACTTGCCAACTCACATACTGACTAAAATACCTAACTCCTTATGTAATTACTTACTTTCTGACTAACTGAGAGAATTAGATATTTACTTACTAACCTTATTACTTACTTCCTAACTTATATACCTACCGACTTACGTCTTTACTTAATTAATTACTTATGTGTTGAGTAACCAAATAAATTATTTACTTGCTTACTTACTATCCTACTTAGATATTTGTTTACTTACTGACTTATTTAATTATCTGCATACCTACTTATTTGCTGACATGTTTACTTACTCACACAATTACTGTAGCGCTCACTTACACACCTACGTACTTGCATAAAAACCTAATTTGTACATAATTACTCATTTATTTACTTAGTTACTTACTCATTTACCTAATTACCTACTTGTTTAATTAATTACTCAACTAATTAATAACTGACTTGGTAACGTACTGACCCACTCACTCACCTAATGGCATACTTGGTTGTTTCCTTGCTTGCCTAGTTACATACATACATACTTCCTTACTTATCTACTTACTTATAGACTTATTTTATTGCTCACTAAAATACCAACTTACCTATTACTTGCTAATTATCTAACCTATTTACTTACTTATTTCTTACATAATTACTTAAGTTACTTAATGACTCAATTAGTGTCTTTATAAATTCAGTAATGACTTATTTACACATTAAATTACTGAATTAATTGCTTATTTACCTGCTAACTTATTAGATTAAATACTTACTTGCACACATAATTACATACCTACATCTCTATTTTCTTACTTACTTACTCGTGAACTTGACTGTTTACTTTAGTACTTATATATATATATATATATATATATATATATATATATATATATATATATATTTACTTACTTCCCTAATTCCTAACCAAATAAATAATATTTTTACGTATTTACTTCAATAGTTACTTACTTACTTACCTACTCATGTAACTGTAAACTTACTAACTTCCTTGGATGCTTTCCTACTTACTTACTTACTGAATTACCCACTCACTTTGTTACTTACTTACTTGCCTAATTACTTACGTAATTACCTACTTACATTATTTTTTGTTTACTCAGATACTCAATAATTTACTTACTTACTTTTTCACTCTCTTACTCAAATACTTACTTACTTATTCAATATTTGCTGGCTTACAAACTTACTTACTTGTATGTCATTTCACTTTTTTTACTTACTCACTCACCTTCTTACATAGCAACTCACCCAATTACATAATTATTAATGTGACTATGTACTGAGTTACTTGCATAGCCACTAACGTACTTAATTTAATATTTATTTACTTCACTATCTGATTATCTCCTTATTCAATTACTTAATTAGGAACTTTGTCAATGACTTAACACGTAATCTGCCGATTTTTAGAATAATTCGTGATACGACCATGTCATCCACGCACTATACAACCATCGAAGGATCTCCAAACTTATGGATAACCTTTTAGAAATTAGAAGTAAGAAGTCACTTCCATTAATAAATTTACAGTTCAACAAGTGTGGAAACAACGAACATTTCCACTGTGCATCGCTGATTGTCATCTCATTGTACACCAGAATTAAATAGAGGTGAAATAAGATGAACTGTGAACTACAGAGAAAGAAATCTCAGATGAAATTATTCCCAATATAATGTGAACAGGATTTTCCAAAGTAAAAACCCGAACTTTGCTAAGGAAAGAAGTCAGTATTTGCTATTACCTAAGTGCAAACCCTTCAGAAAAGACGTCTGCTTTTCAACTATACATACATGAAGGTGGTTAGAATTTATTGCGTATAAACAATTAATTTAGTGGAACATGCAAATCTATTCACTGCATAATTTCAATCATATTATGACAGGTTCAAAAACCAGAAAGGCAATCTATGTTAAAACATAAACAAGAACTATCTGCATAATATACATCAACCATTGTACAATAAACCACAGCTCACTTCACTATCGTGACCTAAAGGGTTACATACTTTACGGAGACTAAGGATAATCTGTTATTGAGCTGAACGAACTTTAATTTTAATAGATTGGTCTGAACTTCCAATCAAACTGTAGCTTGTCAAATACCTGGACTCTTTAATCCCATCATTCCCATATCGTTATAAACGTGATTTGAAATCATACATAGACAACGCATAATGTACACCAGTTATTATAAACAATAACTGACAAACAAATTAGTAGTGCTCAAACGGAATCGACCTACTGAAATTTACTGACAATACTAAGAGACAACATACGTAACTACTACTACTGTTAGAGCACACAGAAGGGCAGACTACACTTGTTACACTTGCCTCAACCTCCTAAAAATAAAACGTCTACATAAATAAATATATAAGTACTCGAATTCTTGTGTTTACATCGGTGTGTGTGTGTGTGTGTGTGTGTGTGTGTACAAGTAAGCCATTATACGCTTGAAACAAAACAAATAAAAAGATGTTATAAAAAAAAAACCAGTTAGAAGTGAATCAACAAAATAAAGATAAATGAGTGTGCAATAAAAAGCCTATAACAAAAAAAAAACTACTGTGCATATATCATGTACGCATCATTGTTTGACATTTATAGACAAGTATGTACGGTGTTCGTGGCTTACTTATATAAAGGCTGAATGCAGTGTATTGATTGTTAACGGCAGATTCGCAATCGATTAGAGCTTCTTTTTGTTGTTGCTTCGATAAGCGAAGAAATGTACAGTTTCTTGTATCGAGTGGACGATGAGTTGTGAACAAAAGATTTAAGCTTTCTGGATTGTTTAGTCTACAGGCTCGATCATCATCAAAATATAAGAATGCTGACGAAGAGTTGTCCAATTTTTGACAAGGGTCATCTACGTGTACAGCGATGGTATAGTGACCGGATGCTACAGTTTCACCGACATGAAATATAACAGCCCAAAGACGATACTGGCGTTGTGCACTGCTAAAATGTGTTTCTTGACTTAGAAGCACTGAAAGTTGAGGACAATAAAAAGAAGAAACATTTGATTAGGAGACAATATTTAATAAAATCTTGGAAAATGCAAGTGATTAATTAAACACAAGTTATATTCTTGAAGGCTATGAGTAACACGTCGAAAAGTTGAATCGAAAGTCGAAATGTAGTCAGCAACTACGTGCATATCCATGTAGCAGGCAATTAGTCACATCTGTTGTGTGACAGTGAATGATACTTACTACCTGGTTGTACAGACCTCAGTAGGCGGAGCGGTGTTCAAACCCATGACGCATTGGTTGAAAATCTACTGCCTATACTAATAAGCTATAATTTCAAAAACACATCCTTGAGAGAACTATTGGAATTGACTACGCGTTTTAACTGAAGTAAAAAGAGGTAGGCAGACTTCACTTACACTTTAAAGGTTGTCGTTTAGAATAGGGTAACTAGTAATATAACTCAATAACAAACTGAGCTAGATCCAAGATTAGCTGATTATTTGCAGGAAGTGTAGACAAGCAGTTGTTGCACTTTCAAGAATATGACAGTGGTGGAAAAACGTTACAGATAGCTTAGATAAATGTTTTGATCATAAACACCACGGTTAGATAATCTCATTGAAACTTTTGGATGTTCATCAGTTAATTCTAGCTGACAATGAGTATAATAATACACACAAGTCTATCACATGGAAAAACTAGAATAAACTTTTACAAGGACAAGATTTGGTGATTACAACGTGCAACCAAGATGGAAACAGGTACCACCACGCAATCTGTTTCTGTCATCTGAAACCACCGTGTCAGTGAGTAGATAATGTATTGACCAATAATCTCCATACATATTCGAATAACAGATCGGCAGGGCTATTGCATCACAAATCTCGGTCTGTGCTCTATATGCTGCATAGTCAGCTAACACTCATCGACAAAAAACATTCAGTACTGGGTTAAGGCAACTAATCTCTGGATGTTTTTGTGAAGATAGAGAAGATACTCTACTCATGCAGCTGAATGAAATGGTCAGAGGTAATACACATTCAGTGCTACACCATTCCAGGATGAAACGATTGAGGTACCTATCTTTAAAAAATCCAAATAACGCACGTGAAAATTAATAAATTGTTACAGTGGTACCAGGCACATAAAATATTTATTGAAGTCATACTTTGTAGACTGATAAACGCATGGAAAGTCGATTAACAAGGAATCAGACAGATTTCTTTTAGTCTATGGATACACTGATCGTATGTTCTTTCTTCAGGTCACGAGTTAATTAACTTCTTCAAAGCTCTTTACAAAGGATATAGCCAATAAGAGTTAGGGCGTACAACCAACATTAGTAACTGTTCCAAAATAACAGCCATGGAAGACAGGTTTATCCAATTTTATTACTTCTTTATGACAAAATTTTTGACAAAGTGTATAGCTTCGTAGATTTGCCTCATGGATCTTCCCTCTTATTGAATTCCATCGCAAAGTGATGACATTACACATGGGAACGTAAACACATAGAATGTTACGATTATAAACATCCAGACGATAGTTATTACGAATGTCCTCAAAGAAGCTGAACCCTGAGACTGATTAAATCATAGTAAGAATATATTTTAATAAAACCCCAGCTTCTTGGTTGTATTGTGTTATCTGAGCTAAGCTGAGAGAGAGAGGGGACACAATACAACCAAGACCATTCACCTGAGCTACAAATAGTCTTCATCATTTTATAATCCTAGCGTGTTTAGAAAATCAAAACAAGATATTTCTGAACGTTTCCCTAAGTCATAACTTCTTCAGCAGAATGTACCGATTTTTATCAACATCGAAATGCTATGTTAAGGATGTTTATATCTCTTATATTCCATACTTGCAATCTGTATACATTTGAACTGTTTTTCTTCCCGCTCTCTTTCTCGTGCATGGGTCATATTTTGCATAACCCACTCGCGTTCTGATCGGCTCCTGTCTCTTTAAATGTACTAATTATTCCTTGCCTTTCAAGGTTACTGTAAACTCTATAAATAGGGTCCGTTTTCACTGACAAACTTTTTCAGTCCGAGATACCACAAGCTCAGCTGATTTCCAGTCCTTTGATTTCACTTGCGAATTGTCGCAACCCTCGACTATCGATCGTTAAGTATTATCGTCCGTTCTCCCAACTCCTCATCGTCACATAGCCAAATGATACACCAAATATTTAGTGAATATAGTCCATTGGTCAGGTGGTTTTTCAGTCCACTCTGAGTAATTAGGATTGGTCACTACAAGGTCACGCTTGTTTGTCAACGAAAATTGAGGATAGTAAGACTGTATCTGTTTATGTATGTTGGCAATGTAGACATATTGGAAAAAAGTTTCCATTTGCGTTAAGAATAACTTTCGAAGCCTTGTATATTTTAACAAATGCTATAAACAAAAAAGAAGCAAGAGACCTGTCATCTATTTCGGAAACATCAATCCAACAAAACCACTAATCATGACTCTTTCTAACTGAAGCTTCAATAATAATGGCAATTATTGACGGTTCATAAATAAAAATACAAGAAAAGCCGCGTGTTCTACAACATACGCAAACACACACACACACACTTTTACTATCCTACATTTTCGTTGACAAACGACAATAACAAGCGTGAACTTGTAATGACTAATCCTAATTACTCAAAGTGAACAGAATAACCACCTAACCCAATGGACTATATTCACTAAATATTTGATGCATCATTTAACTATATGTATTTTGATGTTTATAGAAATCTGTATGTCCAACTGGAAAAGCTGAGGCTTAGCACAATGAAACATTCAGAAATATTTTGTTTTGATTTTCTAAACGCGCTGGGATTATAATAAAATATATTCTTATAAAATGATAAATGATAAATCTAAATGAAGTAGATCTATTAGGTCAAGAAAATATTGTTGATGTAGTGTATGCGGACAATATCATCCTGATAGCATTCAATCCATTCATTTGGGTGGGGAGGGGGGGGGAGGCAGTGTTCATAAATAAGGTATGTGTGCTGCACTATCAAAGCGTGTATTGATGGTCATGGAAGAGCAACCAATTTCATGTTGTCTAGTCTTGAGTGCAGATCGAATCCTATCGATCATATTTGCAATGCGGCCACCAAGCTAGGAGGCTCAGCATCGTTGACTACAACACTGGGTGACGCGGGTTCCAATCTCAGGAGAGACATCAGTTCCGTTGAGGTTGCAGATACGCCATGCTGACGAGTGCCAACAAGCACGAAACCTAGGTTCGGGCTTCCTGCCGATTGCCTCCAGCCAAGTAACAACTATCAAATCGTAGAGCGTTTATACAATATTTCCAAGAACTTAAATAAATTACTGAACGCAGTCAAAAATTTGATAGTTGCGTAAAATGCAAGGTCTACTTTCTCAAAACAAAAACCAAGTTAGGTCACCTTTGGAAAAGTTGCGACCCTAGTGTGATTGTGAATAATAGATCGTGCAACACTTCGATATGGATGGTTTCGACATACGCTTACACGACCTGGTTCCCTGAAATTGAAGACGTTAGATGGGTTTCAGTAGGTTTCCGTAGGATGGTCGGCGTCCAGAGGCAACACTGTGTAAATAATGCTGAGGTTTGATTGTGGTTTTGGAACATGGTTATTCAATAAACGAGGTCATTTCGAAGAAAACATCAATGACTCAATACGTTATATGCATGATATCCAAATGGTTCCCGAAAGCAGTACTATTTGTGGATACTGAAGCTCTCGTGCTCCGTGGCCTAATGAATAACGCCTCAGTATTTGAAGGAATGCTGTGTCTTCGTCTCAGCGGGAAGAACATCATCCACTGGGTGCAGATACATCTAGATGACAAGTCCTTAATAGGATGAAACACGTGTCCTGGATTCCACTGCTAGCCACCACCAAACAAGATATTGAGACTATTTAAAAACGTGAGGAAGTAGTCGGCAAATCATTACTCTATGTACTAGAGGGAGATCCTGCAACTTGATGGGGTTCTACTTTCATACCTCCATGTCACTGGTTTTCACAATGTATGGAGTGCGTTTCTTGGTACCTTCACATATGAGAACGATGTGTTGTTTAAACAGATAAATTTAATTTAGAAGTAGTATTCATCATGGATTGATATCAGTAGGGGAACCATTGAGAATCTGGGAGCACTGGACAGCTGTTTCGTCCTAGTATGGGACTCCTCAGCAGTATGCACCCATGACCCAGTTAGGGATCGGACTCAGGACCTTCAGGTTTCACAGCGAACGCGTTGACCATTCAGCCACTGGATCTGTTCCCAGTGGTGCACAATTTCCAACTTCTGTCAATTCACGATATAGTGCGACTATTAACCAAGGTCTTCATTTAGCATCCGCTTCGCTGCTGACTGGTTGACCCCACAGGTCATGACTTCTCATTAGAGCTTCGTGATATCCATTTAGAAGCAAGTCACTAATGAGTACTATAGAGTAATGTATTTTTGAGATGAATGGGGATTTTTAATTTAGAAGTAGTATTCATCATGGACTGATATCAGTTGGGGAACCATTGAAAATCTGGGAGCACTGGACAGCTGTTCCGTCCTAGTATAGGACTCCTCAGCAGCACTACTAAATTAAAAATCTCTATTCATCTCAAAAAATAGACAAATTTAAGTTAATAATAAAATATAAGTAGGTGAGAAATGATAAGACTGACTCACCTTTTGGTATAACTAGTTTGGACTGGATATTAACTGACTTTAAGTGTTTACGGATATCCGCTGAAACTTTCCGGTTGGTATTCTTATTTACAGATCCCTTGATATTATGTACACAAGACTGAACAGTATTAACCTTGGATTCATTGTAAAATCGTTTTAATTGTAAAATAAGATATGGAGGAAGATGATCTAATGTGGACCGACGATGTATATGTGTACCAGAAGGATCGTGATAATCTGTTATTTGTTCAGATTCAGCTAAACACCGTAGAGCAGATTCGACAGAATTAACCTGTAAAAAATTGTAACACTGTGTAGACACGCAAAATGCGCAGGATAAATTCAACTCAACTACATTTATATCTATATCTAAAATTTCCTGAATAGCTTCCACTAATTAACGGTTCTTAGATGAACGCTAGAGCTTTACTAATACTTTGACAACATTACATATTGTCTCATAGTAAGAGAAAAATTGGATAAATAGACAAACCAACGCAAAACCTCGCACACAAGTGCACCACTTCAAGTTGCCACATTTCATAGTAGCCAGAGAAGAATAAGTGGATAAGGAGCATTGATATGAAAGTAGACAAAAGTGTGTGTGGGGAGACGGGATTCAAAAATGAAGGTCAGTCAAAACATTTAAGATTTCGAAGACGTCAATGGGTGAACACATTTATGCCATTGTGACCAATTTTCAGCGATTTCTTCAAAATGCCTCGACCACTGATTTTCATCGTTTCGATGACCCTAGTCAGGTAGTCTGTATCTCCCCATAGAACTCAGACCAGCAGTCAGAGACTTCATGTGCTGGTCCCGTCTTAGTCTGGTTACCTTGAGCCCTATTCTAATCTAATCCAATGTCCTCTAGGATTGCACTTCGAAGTGGAGCTGTGGCTCGTTGGTTTAAGATAACTATCAACCAGCGAGTCACTGCTCCATCTATTGAGGTTTCGGCAGCCATGTAGTAGTATCATTAGCCCTCACACAATAGGTATGGCTTATTACCTAGTGCACGGATGTCCACAAAGTTGCTTTATGAAGTAGCCAGATATCTCACCGGCACCAAAGATAAAGTTAGTAAGTGACAAACGGGTCTTCTCTACTCAGACTGAGATTTCGTCAACAACCAATCCATTCATGTAGACGCAACTCCCAAGTAAGTGGTGGTCAACATATTCTCCTACTTCACTCCAAATCCTTCGACCAGGAGTAGCTGCAGACCACTCGTGAAGCGACATCTTACACGATAGGTGTAAGATGCATGTCAAACATCCTCAGATTTCTGCTCAAGGCGTTGCGCTCAGAAAATTGCATTTTTTTCAGCATCATCACTGCCTAATAGGATAACGTTGTCAGTGGAAACCAAGTCAACTGGGTGTGATACTGGGAGGTCACTTCCTATAAGGTCGGAATCATACAGGGTTACATCGACTAGAACATATGTAAAAAAAGTAATAGGAAGTGAATCAAGTATCAGTTATAGGGAACACTTAGAGCAGAAGGTAATTAAATATGATTACAAAACGAATCTAAACGGTACAGGTTTACATACTCGACTATGAGACACTGTATGACTTATGGCTAATAATGGATTGCTCAGATCGAAGAAGGCAGAAGTGAGATTTTGATAAGAGATCTACTCATTCAGGGCGGAATACGAAAGCCGATAGGCTGCAGCTTGAAAAAGTGGCAAGTAGACTAAAATAAACCGAAAGGCAGCAAGCGGGGGAGCGCACTCATATTATTCAAGTATTTGATGACGATGAGTGCAAACTTACCAAGTGGCCATAAAATTCTTTGGATAATCCTTGTAGAAGCACTATAAACAGTAGACAAACTGGAAATCAAGCTTTTATTCCGAAAAAAACAATATTTAATCGGCCAACTCCTGTACAACTGTGCATTGTTTTATCCTAATTCACTCATGAGTAAAGATTTGTGCAGTGTAACGTGGAGTTGTGGTTGACTGGTTTAAGCAGTTGGCTTTCAACCAATCGGTTACGGGCTTGAACACCGCTCCAACTATTGGGGTTTGAACAGCCAGTTAGCATCACTGACCTCCACACACACATTGCCTGACGCACGAATATGCCCGTGCGTAATGAAAGCTATCTATCTTTAAAACTTAGTTTAAATTTGTTGGAAATCTTCAATTGGTATGTTAATTCATATAATTATTATCCGAAAACAGTATAGAGTAGCCCACAAGCTGCCTTCACTGTTTCTTGAGTCAAACGAATACCAAGAGAGATGATAATTGGCGTAATACTGTAGGTTTAGTCGTGCTACGCTGAATTGGTATGAACCATTACAGACTGAGGAAACAACGATTCACATAATGGTGTATTTACAGAGAACTCCGAGGATTTGAGATTTGTACTCAACAGTCGCAGTCTGCAACCTTGTGCACATTCGTGCAACAAACAATTAGCCAAACCTATTGCATGAGGGCTATGGCTCCCCAAACCTCGGTAGGTGGAGCAGTGTTCGAACCTGCGACTCATTTGGTTGGTAGATCAATGAGCCACAGCTCCACTAGATTCCGACTACATAGGGATAGATTTTGGAATAAAAAAAGCATGTGCCTAGACCCAATCTACTTTCAACGATGAACCGACTGATGCTTGAGTATAACCAAAACTCACTAGGGTAAATAAACTTAGAGAAAAAACACAACACTAACTAACCGAAGGATCATCGATAGGCACAGGAAGAATAAAGAAAGGCTCTTTCACAGAAATCTTTTTACTTTCAACATCCATACTTGACTGACTATTTGTTTTGCCCACACTCGAACGAGTTACAATTGTGCCGCAAAATAATGAAGATATAGGACTTCGACCATCAAGTTCTATCTGTGAAAAGAAAACAATCCATGAATGAAATAAAAACGTTTTGCTGTTTTTTTATTTATTACTAAATTGCTTCTTATCATTAAACGCATTCCAATAATCAGTTTGTGCTTACACGATTTCTTCAGAACAGTATAATCCATCCATATGAATCGAGATATTTATATAAGATTTAGCCGAAAGACCGCAGGTTTATATCATACATCATACAACTAGATATCATTATACTGGGTGATAAGTGAAGGTGAAATGAAAATTTGAGATTCGGGACTCGAACCAGCCGCCACCGAGATTTCTGCCTAGTGCTTTACCAATGATCTATGAGACCCGACTGCTGGCCAGACTTTTATTTCACTTCAATCACCAAGAGTTCTGAGCGACTTCCATGTGAATTTGTGACGGGCTACTACCGTTTAGTTGTGTTCACACCAGCTGCCTAGCTAGGACTTCTCATCCCAATCCAAACCTATTTGAATTAGAGAGGTCAGCATTATATTGGTTACCATTTTGACTATGTGAGATAATCGGTGGTGGCTGGTTCGAATATTACCGTCACCCAGATTTTCATTTCATCTTCAATCATCACCCAGTATTAATACACCTCTTACCAAACCACAGACGTCTCAGATATCATTATCCTGGAATAGTTTAATATACAATGGGGCACCCTACAAGAGGCGTCTCGGTGGTTTATAAAAAGACCATGTACAAACCTGAATGCTTGCAGTACCGAGTGAATATGTACATGCGGTTTCGAACTGCATAAAGTGGAATACAAATCATATGCGAAATCTTCTGGTAAGTTTATGCGAAGTGATTTGGGAATGATGTCATTTTCATATACGAGAAATGCCATCAGGATATGTAAAAATAAACTGTAAAAATATCTCCACTAACCTGTGGTAGACAATTTAACTATCACTACGGTTAAAGTTAATCCAAAAAGATCCGTTTACTTTCATCAAGGTTTTCAATCAAGTGATTTCATACGTGAATAACCGACAAAGCTTCTGTCTTTGCATAAACAATACTCTCAGGAAATTCTCCGCTTAACTTTAAGTGGTATAGTCGAACACATCCCCAAGCCTAGCAAATAGATGATTACAAATTATAAACTTGCTACGTGACTCAGTGAAAAGTGTAATCGAAACCACTATAGTGGTATAAAAAAGCAATATAATGTGAGGTAATGTGTGGTGGATGCACGCTTGAAGTTATATTGCAAGACTGGTGCGCACGTAGTAAAAACAAACAGCTAATAAACTCTTCAGTAATTTAGAGTTTTTCATATCCATAAAAACGTTAAAAAATGTATTGTCAACACATTCGTACAGCAGACCTAGACCTATTGTGTGCAGGTTACTGGTATTAACTGACTGCTCAGACCGCATTAAGCAGAGCAGGGTTCGAACTCATGACCCACTTGGTTGAAAATCGAAAGTCTAGATCAATGAATCCCAGCTTCCGCATCTGTAAACATAAGTCAATTCCTCAGAACGGATAGAAATGGTTCTAGGCAAGCATTTTACTCCAATACTTGAGCTTGGTTATCTGTTGACCAGACTCAGGTCGACTGATGCATAACACGTACTCAACGTGCCACAACACTATGACGAAGATTCCTGGCTTTATTCCCGAGTACTGTGTATCAAATCAAATCTGTAAGGTTAAAATGTTACTTTCATCAATCACACTCAGTTAAATTAAAGAAGTTGCTTGCAATTTGCATAATCTCACAAGTGGGTGGAATTCAAACATGAAATCCTAGTATGATTAACTTTGAATGCCAAAATATTCAGACTTATTCATTATTGCAGTCTGAAGTGAGTAGGAAAATCACACCCATATTACTAGTGATAGGCACGCTTAGTAGAATTTGTATTTCGAAGTAAATCAGAGTGGGCTTTACACCTTTAAAAGTAAGCTCACAATTTTGAACGAATGAAACTTCCATCCAATGTTCAGATCATTTCAAATCGGCTATTGAATGTGCTACTGACGGTTGGTTAGATATGTTTTTAACTAGTCTGATACCAGGACATCTCAATATTTTCCGATCCATGACCAAAAACTGTGACACCGATCCAATGAAGAGATTCATATGAATAAATATCAATTCTGTTACCCCTAGATGAAGGGATAATTAACGGGTATTCAAGAAAAGTCGTTCGATCATTTTAATCAGCTGAAAATATTCTCGGTTTGTTCTCTTCATACATCATAAAACTGAAAACCTCAACAAAAGTACTACTGACAGGTTTAAGAGAAAAAAACCATTATAAACAGTATACAGCAATTTCAAATATCTCGTTAGGAGCTTACTTTTCTAGCCTCCGGATAATGTTTACCAGCGCGACCAGCGACAAACCAATCTGAATCACTTTGATTTCTATCACCTTCGTTTAGATTTACTATTTCACTCTCTAATATTGAAGAGCTCATTTCTTCATGCAGTTGTGTGAGAAGGTATGTAAGACATTCCTGTGTGAATTAAAATAAAAGGAAAATAAAATTACATATGAAGCAGTTAGTATATGCAAACACTTGAGTGGTGTGTTTATCCTATACCTCAATCCACTGGCAGAGAACAACAGTATTACAATAGATAAGTATCAAAAGATGGAACTAAAACTTCCATCGAAATCGGGAAGGTAACGGGCTGCACATTCAGTTGTTAATCAGGGAAACGAAATCAAAACACAATCTATAATACATAAGCCAACCAAGCACAGTAATCAGTGCTAGTCTGAAACTAGGAATTTCGTAAAAGCTAATTAATTTATCATACACGTGAAGAGGAAATTGATGTAACCAGTTCATTGAAATAATCGTTATGCTGAAAATTATGTTAAAAATACGCTTAGAGAACCACATTTCTTCGTACTAATCACTGAAGTCAGATAATTAATAGACACAAAACATTTAATGTAACACAAATGAATAAAGACTACAGCTGAGTAGCAATGATTTAAGATGAAAAAGAGTATTGTACATACATATCTCCGTTATTGTGACTGCTTTTGAGAGATATACCACAAAACTTCTTCAAGTACTAACGCCTATCATCTCAAAGAATTTGGTCATATAGCCTATAAGTGACTGACACCAACAGTCAAAGACTTCGTCATCTTGTGTTACATCTTCGTCTGTCGTCCTTCAGCTAACGCTGTGTTGAAGTGGGAGGTGACTCGGAATGTACAATCTATGTCCTAAGTCATCTCAAGTCAGTGAAGATTCATACACAACTTTATCATCAACTGATGATATGCCTTCCTTGCCTAATACTGTATGCGTGACCTCAACATTGATGATATGGTGGTTTCATCACACGCAAAAAATGCTACGACAGAATCACCAACTAGCCCACACAGTACGCATAATCTGGTACAACTAGTCTGCGACTAGTGAACTAAGCAGAATTCTGTATGAATCTATTCACTGCAATGTAGAATATTCGTCTGGTGGAATAGGATAAATTCGACTACATTCACGTATCAAACATATAGATAATATTTTCCAATAACATATAAATGGATTCTGAAAACCATACTACATCTAAAACAGTTTGAAGTATACAAATGCATAAAAAATAATAGCGAGAAAAGCATCAAAAGAAGAACACCCATCAACTTACAGCAGCATCCTCCTGGAAACCGGAATCCATACGAAGTAGTTGCGCGAACATTGGGTTCGGCGTGAGTGAATGATTCAAAACATACGGCTGCACACCGTTTACATCTGACTCTTTCCACACAGAAGAATTAGGACCGTTTGTATTGCCAACTTTGGTTTGAACTGGTTTATAACAGTGATGATCATTATTTCGTATATCACTGTGTTCTGTGTGTGGATTAAGCTGTTCCATCAATTTAAACCTATGATATAAATAAAGAATAGTGCAAAAACTGACTTATTATTTGTATATTTCACGCAAATAGTCAAATATGGTAATCAGTGTTGGCTAGCTCCATTTCACACACACGTAGACAAACACTAAGATACCATGACGTGGGCAACACACCAAAACCACCACCTCAAAGTATGCCTGTTTGGATGATGCAATGTTTGTGACTTTATTAGTGAGTCAATGAATTTCACCGGATAAATTCATCACCCAGTATTAAATATGTATATTTAAAAATTGAGAAAGCGTGTAAATTTAATTGACAATATACTTGAACTAGCATGGATACAGAAAGCCCATTTGGTATTTGCTAACTTGTGTCACCTCAGGCACTAACTGGCAAGATATTTGACTACCTACTTATTAAATGAAGAGTCAACTGAGTTGCAGTTCATTCTGTCCTCTTATACGACTCTGATATATAGCCGTTAAAAGTAAAGATATGCAGCGGTTTACAGATCTCTGACCATGGGCGTTACAGTAGCATTGCTCACGTATGGTGGAATCACCATGTTAGAAATGTTGAGGCCAGGCGAAAAGCACTAGGCAAGACTGGTAATTCGATCTATAAGGTTATGAACCTTCAGCAACTGAGATGACTTGAACATGTGTTGCGCGAACCGAGCCGCTGCCTACCCAAACGTGCAATGCTAGCAGAGATTCGAAAAAGTCGGAAGAGGGCTAAAGCGGCGATTCTAAATCGTGGCATCAGCGTGGAAAGTCTCTGACTATCTATATGAGTCGTGTAGGGAGATGTAGAATACCTGTTTGGGGTCCTCAAGACGGTAGGAATGTTACGATTTGAACGATTGTTATGTGCTGTCCAGGATTGCTATATGCTATGGCCGCTAACGATGCACAGATATCGACTGTCAGCAACCAACATTCAACAAATTCTTAGTTGGTTCCTGACCCAACTAATTAGTAGAGAAGACAGGATGGATGTGTAGAAACGCGCATTGGGGTCGAAAGACCGAAGCTGGATGATGAGAGTTTATTTCTCTGAGAATATAATAATAAATCCCAAAACATGTGAATAAGTACACACATGAAAAACGACCTTGTGCGCAATTTGAGACACTGGCATAGTAAGAGTAAAGATTAGCCAATCAGAAAATTATATTACAACCTCGCCTGGTTAACTAGTACACTAGTTACTAGCCGGTCCTAAGCCCGGATAAAGAGGAAAGGCTGGGTGCAGAGCAAGCACCCCTACCCCGTAAAACAAATCTAACCGCTAAAGAAACTTCAAAGCACAAACTATATATAAAAAATAAAAACAAACTTATTCCTCCCTGGAATCGGAGAGGCGAAATGACGCCAGTTGGTGAAAGCCTTCGGGAAGCCAATTGGCCGATGTGTCTTCTCTCGATGAAAGCGAAAGTAAACGTGGGGACATGGAATATTCGTACGATGTTTGAACCCAGTAAGGCAGCCCAGATTGCAAACGAGATGAGAAGGTATCACATCGAAGTGCTTGGAATTTGCGAAAGCAGATTGAATGGGAGTGGACTCTCCAAACTGTCAACTGGAGAATCAATAATCTACTCCGGTCACCCAGACGACAACCACGAGCACACTGAGTTATGGAGTGGCTATCATGATGTCCTCAAGAGCATCGAAGGCTCTCATGCAGTGGGAACCAATCTCCTCAACGATCAGGATCATGACAGCAAGATTCAACTCAAAAGGAAGGAAGGTCACAATCATACAATACCTGGCTATGCACCTACAAATTATGCAGAGCAAGAGAAAAAGGAGGATTTCTACAGACAACTCCAATCAACACTGGACAAGACGTCAGTTGGCGATATCAAAATTCTAATGGGCGACATGAATGCCAAGCTGGGAGGGGACAACACAGGAAGAGAACTAACCATGGGTCGAGAGGCGCTAGGTGAAATGAACGAGAATGAAGAATTGTTTGCAGAATTCTGTGCATTCAACGATTTGGTAATTGGAGGCAGTGTGTTCAGGCACAAGGATATCCACAAAGCGACATGGGTTTCACCAGATGGACACACTAAAAATCAAATCGACTGTATCTCAATCTCAAGAAAATGGAGACGCAGTCTACTTAACACAAGGTCAAGAAGAGGAGCAGATGTAGAATCACACCACTCACTATCTAGTGCAAGGAACCTGCCTTCCAAATCAAGTTGAGAGTCTTCAAGGAAGCTGGTGATAGACCACAGTTCAAGTACAACACTCGGAAACTGAAGAATGAAACTACAAATGAAATCTTCGAGGCAGTCATCAAGACAAAATGGGAGATATCGAGGAACATCCCTGAAGAAACCTGTGTGGAAGAACACTGGAGGTCTTGGAAAGAGATGTGGAAAGGAACCTGCACAGCCGTATTAGGAAGGAAGAAGAAAGAAGACAAGGAATGGATCTCGACGGATACATGGAAGCTGATAGAGCAGGGAGGGGAGGATGGTGAAGCAGAAGATAAACCAGTGCAAGGATGCTCAACGACAAGAGGAACTGAGCACAATGTATAAAACACTGAACAAAGAAGTAAAGAAGAGTGCACGGAAAGACAAAAGACACTTCTACGAAACACTGGCAAGTGAAGCAGAACAGGCTGCAGGCAGGAGAGACAGAGACCTGATAACATTGTATCAAATAACCAGGTTGCTATCAGGGAAGAGACCAACACAGATGAAACCAATAAAAGATGAAGAAGGAAATTTAATTACGAAAGAAGAGAAACAGATGAAACAATCGGCCGACCACTTCAAAAAGCTCTTGAATCGACCACCACCTGCACTCCATCCAGAAATACCACCTACAGCCGCTGAACTACAGGTGAACATAAATCCTCCAACAAAAATGGAAGCCCTGAACGCCACAAAACTACTGAAATGTGGGAAACCAGCAGGACCAGATGGGATCCCGCCAGAAGCACTGAGAATAGACGCAGAGACAACAGCGGACATGCTCACACCACTATTGCAGAAGGTGTGGAAGGAAGAGAAGGTACCTGACGATTGGAAGAAGGGTTACCTTGTCAAACTGCCGAAGAAAGGAGACCTCAGTGCTTGCAAGAACTGGCGCGGAACCACTCTCCCGTCCACCCAAAGCAAGCAAAATATTAAGCCGCATCATCCTGGAGAGGCTTAAAGATGCACTGGATTCAAAACTACGACCCGAACAGTCTGGTTGGCTTCAGGAAGTACAAATCATGTGCGGACCAAGTTGCAACGCTACACTTCGCATCATCATAGAACAGAGTATAGAATGGCAGTCAACCCTCTACCTCAGCTTTATCGACTTTGAGAAGGCCTTTGACAGCGTCGACCGAGAAGTAATTTGGAAACTGCTTCAATACTACGGAGTACCGCAAACCTTTATCCGCCTCATTCAACAACTATATGAAGACTCCACATGCCAAGTAATTCACAATGGGAAGCTCAGTGATGCTTTTGAAGTGAAGACAGGAGTGAAACAAGGTTGCCTACTATCCCCCATGATATTCCTGATTGTGGTCAACTGGACTGGATCATGCAGCAAACAGTGGGGAGCTGTGAGAAGGGGGGGATACACTGGACTGCGGAAAAGAACCTAGAAGACTTGGATTTCGCCGATGACTTGTGCCTGATGTCACATAAACTTGAAGATCTGCAGGCAAAAACTAACAAGTTGATAGAAGAGGCAGCGAAGACGGGGCTTCAAGTGAATATAGAGAAGACAGAGGTGATGAAGATACCGCACCACCACCATCAACAACAACAACAAACTCCAATCACCGTCAACGGGAGAAAGTTAAAGGAAGTAACCTCCTTCATCTATCTAGGAAGCACTGTTTCAACTACGGGCGGGACGGACGAGGACGTCAAAGTCAGAATCGGAAAAGCAAGACAGGCGTTCATTAGCCTGAAATCAGTGTGGAGATCTGCACTCAGCATGTGGAACAATATACGGATTCTCAACACCAACGTCAAGTCAGTGCTTCTGTATGGTTCAGAGACTTGGCGCGTCACGAAAGGGATTTCCAGTAAACTACAGACATTCATCAACAACTGCTTACGCTGCCTCGTTACTGAAGATCAGATGGCCAGAAAGAATAAGCAACAAGAAGCTCTGGGAACGAACCAACCAAGAACCTATCATCCAACAAATATGCAGGAGGAAGTGGAGATGGATTGGGCATGCACTGAGAAGGCCGACTGAGGACATCACGCGTCAGGCCCTCGAGTGGAATCCCCAAGGGAAGCGACGAGTTGGACGTCCGAGGGTGACATGGAGGAGGTCGTGCGAGGAAGAAATGAGAGCTTCTGGGCTGTCGTGGAACCAGGTTGAAAAGATCTCAGAGAACAGAGTTCACTGGAGACGTGCTACTGAAGCCCTATGTTTCACTAGGAACCCAAGGGACTAATAATAATAAATAATAAAATTATATTACAATGTGAGCAGAAAATAAACTACCAGTCATGCCGTAAAAATGGTGTGGGAATGCCAAGTCAAAAATGTCCAGGTCAATAACAATGTTTCATGGAAAACTAGGGTCTCACAACAAGGAATCAGTGGCTTCGGAATGTTGGTGACATGGTTGAAAACTGGTAACAAGGGTGCAGATGTATTTACTTGTTGACGTCTTCTATAGCTTGCATATTTTCACTTATCGTAATTTTTGAATTCCTTTTCCATCCAAGTACTTTTGTCGATTTTCATATCATCCTTTTTCTAACAACTTGTTCTTTGTACACTACTGTGAAACCTGGGGACTTGAACCGATGTACTTGTGCCCTAGGTTCTACGTTGATTTTGACTGTCTGTCTGTTGAAATAACTTGGGCAGTCAATGTTCTTTTGATCAAGGTTCTCTTACCGTCTACCATACTACAACCAGAAGAAAGCAGCTGTCAAGATATCATTACCTACCTACAAATAATTCTTAAACTCAAGAAAGTCACATCCTGGTAATTTGAAATTCTCAACACTATTCAAACGAATACATAAAGAATTT